TTTACTCTGATGTTTTCAGAGATTTGAAAAAGAAAAGTATGCAATTAAGATTTGGGAAAACATATTTAATGGAGAAATGCCACTGTCTGAGAGATCAATTTCGTGCAAAGAGAAGGATTCGTTATGTGATATTTTAAAAAACCTGTTGAGATTCCTAGTTATAATGCATTTCTACTGATTTAAATTCTAGGAAACAATATCAATTCAAATACTGATTTCGGAGAAAAAATATTTATTTGTTACAGATGCTTTTGTCACCAAAGGTTCCTAAAGTTTATTTCTTATGTTACTGTAATGGAGGTTGGGCTGTTAACATAAACTCGTATTCATTTATCTTTTTACTTGTGTAACTTTTTGATAGTCAATTATTTGATTGTGTGATCTGATAGTTTTTTGCTAAATTTGTATTCGAATAAATCCATGTCGACTTTTGAGTGATTTCCATGCCGGATGGAAAAGTTTTTTAGTTTCTGATATATCCTCCTGTACTTAAATTTCTCCTGAAATTTCATTTGTAAGCACCAAGGGTAGTTTAGAGTTGGCAGTCAGTTGTGTTCACACTCCTATAATGGCTTTGATCCTTGAGAAGCTAAACCTCGCTGTTTTGTGGCATATCAGTCTTCTTTTTAGTTTGGATGTCAAGTATGTTAATCTTTGATTTGCTATTTGCAGGAGGAAGAGCAGATCAGGAATAGAGTGATGCATGATTTGCTATATATTCATCCTGTTCATCCATTAGCTCAACAAGTTATTTCATACTATCAACAGAACGATCATTTATCTGTAGGTGAAAGATTTGCGTGGGAAATTGACACAAGAGCCAGGTTAGTAGGTCTTAGTGTTGATTGATCTTTTAGTTTGAAGTTGTCAAATCATTATTTATGTGTGCTGGCTTTATCATCTCATTTTACACTAACCTTTTACAGTGGGGGGATGAATGGTTGTCTTTGGTTATATGAGAGAAATGTGCGGAGAAGTGTGGTCCCGTCTCCTATACTTGGATTGCCAGCCTTAGAGGGTAACCAAGTTTTGTAAGTTTCAACCTTTTCCAGTGCTGTTTTCATAAGCTGATTGATCCTTGGTGTAATGTTGTGTACTTTTTCTTTGCAGAAATATCACATTTCTAAATCCTAAATGCCGTGGACACATCCCAGAAATTCCTGAGGGTGCAGTCATGCCTGAAAAGGTATGTGAGCTCTAGATGCCTGTAAATTGGGTTTATTTTGTTATATGCAGAAAAGCAAGGACATGAAATTTCTGTCAACTAATGATGTGGCAGTGATTCAATTCATGCATAAAATAATGTAATAATGTTATTGGGTTTCATAGTTCAGAGTTTACTGGAGCAGTAAACTGGGATTCTTCTGTGAAAATTAATTGGCCATGCCTGAAAAGGTATGTGAGCTCTAGATGCATGTTTTTCGAAGGTATTGCTGGGCAGTAAATTGGAGGCAGTCCTTGTGTTCAAGGAAATTGAGTTTGGTCATGGTTTATGTTTCTGGAAGTTCCTCCCTGCGTATGGTGGAAGTGCTGATGCAATTGTAATATAATGGTCATGTTAAGTTTGCAGGTGCAAGGATTCTCATATGTTGTTTCCTTGAAGACATTTTCTTTGGATAATGTGTTGTGCCGTCACAGGGTTTGATGTTAGTTGATGATTTGATTTCACAAATGTCCATGGCTAATTTGAGGCATGTTCTTGCTATTTGCAGATCGTAAAACCTGTAGATCTTAAACCATTCCCCACATTATGGCATGAAGATAATGGCCGGAGACAGCAAGGCAGGGAAAGGTACGAATGGATTTCCACATCTTTGCAATGATTGATTTGCATTGGTTTGTAATGTTTGGGTGGTTAGGTTGAATATGGGTGACATTTGTTGATGACCTGCTATTCTTGACAGACAATGCATCTCGCTCAATTTATATGTGGAGAAAGGAAGGGTTTAATTGATATCCTCTTTTTTTTACCTCTGAAAAAACATAGATTGTAGGGATTAGAACTTACTGCTTCGTCTTCTCTTAAATAACCTAATTCACGTGCTGTCTCTTTATTACAGGCCACAAGTACACCGAGCAACAGCTGGCCCCTCCCTGGGGGATGCAGCTCATCGTCTTGTCAAGAACACTCTTAATATCAAACCAAATGGTTCATCCTCTAGAGTGTTTGACCAGCAACTATATCATAATGTCCCCGGCAATTACACATTCTACAGACCAGTACCAGCTGGACCAGCTGGTTATGGAAGGGGCTATAGGGATGATCCAAACTATCATTATGCACAGCGCAGTAACCAGCAAGGCCTGATGAGTAATCCTAGGCATCGATCTTTGTCAAATGGTGTGCAAAGCAACCCACACAACTTTAGGACTCAAGACAGAGTACAGTACCATCAACAGTATCATAACTTGAGTACTGGGGTGTCTGCTCTGACCATAGAAGAAAATATCAAAAGCAGGGCACCTGCAGTGATCTCACCTCGATTGCCGAATCCAGGAAACACTCCGAACTTACAAAATCAGGCCGAGCAGAACACAGGTCTACTTCCATCACCACCCACCAATTGGATCAACAAAACAGCTGCAGGAAACACTGGAATGTACTTCAAACGAGAATCAACTTCGATGGGTCCAAATGAGAAGCAGGTGAAGCAGGTTTATCAGGTTAAGACACACATAGCTCAGGAGACGATGGGTCCAAATGAGAAGCAGGTGAAGCAGGTTTATCAGGTTAAGACACAAGTAGCTCAGGAGACACCAGATATTCAAGCTCAGGGGACGCCAGATTTAAAACATCAGTAACATTGTATATTTGAAGAATCTTGCATGTTTTTGCCACACCCACGTTGCAGTGGCAATGTATGTTCATTTGAATCTTTGCATAAGCGCAAGTTTTTGGCGAATTTACTCGGTTTGGGCAACAAGAGTCACAGGAACTATTCCTGGATGGTATGCAGCTGCAAGAGCTCGTGGATGTCAAAGAGTTTAATATAGTGAACATTGGCCGTTTTGAGATCCACTTTTGATTTGGTGCGAGTTAGCTTACTGCATCTCACCTCATTCATGTCGCAGCTGCTTTGTTCCAGATTTTCCTATTTGTTTACCAGATTGTCGTAGAAAACTGTATCATACAAATGTTTGGTTGTAATCGGGCATCTATCTCAGAAATGTTGTCAATATGTACCTTATTTTGGATGATGGAATTCTACGCGGTATCCTTTTTAGTGACTCGGAACTTTTTGCTTTTCAGGATTTCTGTGCAAATCTGACAGAATCTGAAGGATTGTTCCTTACGAAACCTTAAACGATTGCCTAATAAGGAGAAGCTTTTTCCAAGTTTGAATTCTCTGCTTGAGGGCTCCATCTTCCAGTTTAATTTGCGAGGTGACGTGCTCAATGACTGAAATAAACCCGGTTCTATGGCTTGTTAGAGCCCTCTTCGGTGTGTTTCTACTGGCTCACTCACTGTTTAAGGTGGCAGAGATGGTTCTCTCCGAAGGCCCTTTCTATCCAGGGTTGGAGTTGGGTATCATTCTTGCTCTAGTTTCAGCATTCTTTCGTCCAGCATTTTCCATTTAGAGGTTAGCTAGGTGCTCACGCTATGTAGTAGGCATGGTAAAAAAAATATTTAGACGAAGCAATGTTATTAAAGAAGCAATAAAAATTTGAGACGAGGTCATTGATTTGTTGAGTTTAATATACTTGGTTAATTTATATTTATTATACTACCAAATTGTCCTTCATACAACTTGATTGTAGCAAAAAAAAAAAAAAAGTTGAAAATACAAAAAACAACCCTAGACATAAGTTAAATAAATTTTAATTTTAAAAGTAATTTAATCATCTGATTGTGCTTTAAAAAGTGAAAATACAAAAAGTCATTGGACACTAATTTTTTTTTAAAGTATAATATTGTCATTTCAATATGTTTTTAAAATGCTAAAAGAATAATTTGTCACATATCAATATGAATATGATTAATGGATTCCTATGAAAATACCATATTACCTTAATAACTAGTTCATTGTTTTTTTTTTAAAACAAAGCAAAATGATCATTATACTATTTCAATTTATGTCTCTTTATTGAAGGAAAAAAATTAATTTTATAAATGATTTGAAATAAAATAAACAGTAAAAAAAATGCATACTAAATTTAAAAATAAATAAATTAAAAGATTAGTTTAAATATTTAAAAGGTAAAGTTTAGAAGTTAAAATGTTCATAAGCTACACATGTTACATGAAAATGGAAAGGCTGCTTAGATAATTTGAATATTGCTCGAGAAACCACTGTTTAGCATATACACATGTGAATTATTTTTTTAAAATAATATTTATATTTATTAAATTATTAAATTGTTCCAATAAATTTGATTATATAAAAAAAACCCAATAAAATTATTAAAGAAATTTTGAACACAACTTAAAAAAAAAAATTGCTTTTAAGAAGTCGTCCAAGCATGCTATGAAAAGTGAAAATATAAAAAAGTACATGAACACTGGTTCTAAAAAGAGATTACTTTCAACAATAATTAAATTATTTTATTGTGCTTTAATATAATAATGATCAGTGGATCCTCGTGAAAATAATAACTAGCGGTTTTTTATTTGAGAAGGGCAAAAGAATTAATCCAGCAATGCGTCTCCCAGTTCGTCTTTTTAAAAAAAAAAATAATAATAATTTTAATCTTCCTTGTCAGTCGCCTTGCATTGCATATACGTTCCCAATGACTATAGGTCTCTCTCTCTCTCTCTCTCTCTCTCATGTCAAGCATTTTACTTTGCTTCATCATTTCTCTTCCACATAAACCAGCCAAGGATAAGAGAATCATTGATCATCTAGCATGTCAGATACTTAGTAAAATATGCAAATTATTCAAATTTTTAGATGAGATGCATGTTTAATGCTGTACAAAAGAAGAAATAATGAGCTAGCTTAGCAATAGAACCTGAAGATGAAGAGAGCAGAAGTCAAAAGATGATCTTCTGATAGAAGAGATTCGACTCAGAACACTTAGAAGTCCATTTAAATTCTGATGTTCGTGTAGCTCTCAAGTCCATTTCTGAATTATTACTCTGTTTGCAAACATTTTGTTCCAAATGAACTTCAAATACATATAATACAGCATAACATGTAAAAAAAACCCTCACCATTTACTATTGCAGAAAATACCCTGACAAGAACAAAACAAAGAAGAAGAACAAGGTCCCAAATATTAGAACAGCCTTTTGACCAGAAGTAAGTGCATTGCCTCCTAATCCATACTGCTGGTTCTGTGCAAACCCAGCAATCTCCACACTTTTACTCTCAAAGAAACTCTTTGCAGCCCCACAAGTTGGACACCTCCAATCATCAGGTAGCTTGTCAAACTGAAACCCTGGCGGTATTGGATATGATGGGTCACCAACTGCCTCATCATATTTGTAGCCACAAGACCTACACTCATAAATCCCAGTGTTTAAAACTGCAAACTTCTCTTCCAACCTTCTCTTATCGAACTGTGGCTCTTCTTCTTCTTCTCCGGGAGGAGACTCTGTTGGTGGATTGGTTTGGGTTGAATCTGATAAAGTTGGCGTCTTGTCCTCTCTGGAGACATCAATGGAGTGTAGAGAGAAAAGATGAGTCTTTTGAGGTTTATGAATGGAGAGGAATGATAGCTTCGAGAAATGGGTTCTGGATTTTGGAGGGGAAAGTTGTGGAAGGTGGAAGGACAGAGTGGCTCTCGCGGCTGCACAAGCCATTGCTCAAGTTGTGTGTTTTATATGGCTTCTTTTCTTGTGCCAGTGATTGTGTCTTAAAGGGTGTAGACAAAAATGGAATGCGTGTTGATTTTCTGGGTGGAGGAGAAAAGGAGAGGATCCATGGAAGAGCATATGCCGTGTTCTGAATGGATGGTGGATAAGGTGAGGGGAGTGACAGAGATTGCAGATCGATTCTTATGGTTTACAAGTCTTCCGTTTTTATTTTAAGAATATAAAAGAATTATTGTGAAGTTATTTTGCAAATAAATTTATTTTATATTTTTATTTCTTCAACCAATATATTTTTTTCTATTCTATATTTATTTTTTTTGTAAGTAAATTAAAATAAAAACGAATTTAGAAAGATATGATTTCTAGATTAATCTAGTAATAAAAAAAGAAAATAGAAAAAGGAAGTTAAATAAATACTATTTTCATGAAATAACAATAGTTTATTTTATTATTTACTAATTTTTATCATTCGCGCTAGGCTTCAAATAGATCTTCAAGTTATTTTTTAATATAATAAAATAATATGTTAATAGTGTATGAGCATTGTAAAATATCATGGTTTTTTTTATTAAAACAATTCATAAATGCAAGCATGCTGCTTTGGCAAACATGTTTACAGTGTAGTATTTCAAGTTTTTTTTTTTAAATGTAGTAGAAGAATATATTAATGTTATGAATAGGTTTTATTGTACATGATTTTTTAGTTTAAAAATATAAACATACTATTTATATTTAATAAAATAAATTAAAAAATATATAAATTGATTAATTGTAGAATAGTTGTTAATGTTAATTAAATACTTAAATAAAAAGGTTATTTTTCTTCTAAAAGCAAAAGACAGCCGAGTAAATAAATATTTAACTCTATTTTTTATTCTGAACTTGGACTTTTTTATTTTATTTTAGATGCTGTGTTTTCTTATCAAGAAAATTTTATTTTTATTTTTATAAATATATCGTGGAAATAAATTATTTTTATATAGAGAAAGTACTAATACTAATAATAATTTCTTTGAAATTTATAAAAAAAATAAAAATAACTACTTTTGAAAAATGATGAACTAACAAAACAAGAAAAATTTATTTTTATTTTTATAAATATATCATGGAAATAAATTATTTTTATATAGAGAAAATACTAATACTAATAATAATTTATTTTAAATTTATAAAAAAATAAAAATATTTACTTTTGAAAAATGATGAACTAACAAAATTAAAGTATAGAAAGAGCCGGTATTAATTTAAATACAAGTAGAAAATTAATGAACCAATAAGCTAAAAAATAATTTTCAAACGCTTTTTAAAAATTAAAATAGAAAGTCAATTTTTATCCTAAAAGCCAAAGAGATATGAATATGAAAATATTTAACCATGTTTTATCTTTTTAATTTATGTATTTGTATTTTTTTAATCCTATGCAACTAATTTTTATTTTTATAAATACATAGAACAAGTATAATTTATTTATATTGAATATGAGGAAAAAATGTTAAAAAATAAATTAGAATAATTTACTCGAAACATTGTAAAAATAAAAAATAATTACAAAATAACTACTATTTGATGAATAAGAAATTTTAAGAAGAGAGAGAGGGGATCAATTAAAGCTCAAATAAAAAAATCCAGTAAAAAATACATAAAAATATAAAGGGTATTAATACAAATCCTGTTAAAAAACAATCAACATAAAAAAGCCAAGGAATGCCAACCCATAGGTCTAGCCATAAAAAGACACAAGAGTTATTTTTCCTTCATGTGTCTTTTAAAAAAAAAACTAAGAAGATGTTTGTTTTTTAAAAAATCATTTTTGAGAAATTATTTTTTAAATTGTTTTGTATTTATTTTTCATTAAAAAAATTAGTTAATGAAAAATATTACAAGTTATTTTTCCTTCATGTGTCTTTTTAAAAAAAAACTAAAAAGATGTTTGTTTTTTAAAAAATTATTTTTGAGAAATCATTTTTAAAATTTTTTTTGTATTTATTTTTCATTAAAAAATTAGTTAATGAAAAATATTTTTTAGCTATATTGAATTTGATCATCAAAATTTTAATTATATATGATTTCCATAAAAATATATTTTTTTATTTTAGGTGGAAAATACTTTTTAAATTTTTTTAAAATTTTAAAAATATTATATTATTTGCTGGCTATATCAAATTTGATCATCAAAATTTTAATTATATAATCATATTTTCATCTATAAAAACAACATAAATATTTTATAAATTGCACACCAACCTCTAGACATCTAAAAATCACTTAACAAACACAAAAATTAAATGAATAAAAATAAATCCAAATAAACTCTAATCTATTTTGAAAGACATATTTATAAAAAAAATTTATAATTATCATCAAGATTTTCTCGTTGTATAAACCTATTTGATATGAATATTAGTTATTTTTGTTGTTGAAATATGATTCTATAATATTTTCTTTTATCTCATGAAATTAGTTTATAAATAAAAAGAAAGAATCTTGAAAAAATAGATAAAAAGATAAAAGTGAAAAATATGTTTTGCCATCCATATAAACAATAAAGTCCCAGAGAATATGTTTTTTAATTTAATTTAATTTAATTAGTCGTTAACATGGTTTAGTAAGAAAGTTTTGATTGCAATTGATTTTTTTTTAAATGATTATATTGTTTACCATATTTTAGTCGTTAACATAGTCTAGTAAGGAAGTTTTGATTGTAATTGATTTTTTGTTTAAATGATTATATTGTTTACCATATTTAAAGAAAGTTTTTTAATTTAAAGAAAGCAAGCTACGGTTGACCTGGACAAGAGACAAGAGTAATAATCTGTGGACCTAGAAAAAGCTGACTGGGAATCACAATGCTGAAATGGCACGATCTAAGTGGATCAAAGAAATCATTCCTCCCACAAATAATTACGTGGCATAAGTCTTTCTCTCTTCTAGTTTTATGTGTAATGTAACGTCCTCTCCAGTTTTCCAAACTTACCATCCAAATCTTTCTTTCTTGGAAACCTTTAATTTAGTTCCTAATGTTTTATATAATTATCAATTGAGTCCTTCAACAAATATTTCTATCAGTTAAGCACGAAATTTTCCTCCATTCTATTAAACGGCGTCTTTTATTTCATGATATAGGAGGACGGTAAATATTAACATACATCAACAGAGAGAATGATTCTTCTTCTTTTAAGGACTAAATTGAAGTTTGTTTTCTTGTTTTACAATAACCAAAACCATTTATTATTTTTAATAAAAAAGTGAAAATATACTCTCTCTCTCTCTAAAAAACCTGTATTTTGTCATCAACCCCCCCTCCCTCTGTCTCTCAATTGATGTGCCCATCTTGGATCTTCCTCTCTTGATTCCAAAAACCCTGAAGAAATCTCTTGTTTTCACTTTCTCTCCTAAACCATTTCTCTTAGATCCAACAACCGTTTTGATCATTTTCGCTGAATTGCTGGATCCATTTCTCTCTGATCACTGGTACTTAACTATCTCTCCTCTCTTCTCAAAAAGATCGAATCTTTATTCGTTTTTTGCATAATTACATTCATTTATGTTTCAATCCAGTATAAATTTATGGGTTCAATATATATTTATAGTGAATTTAGATTCGGGTTTTGTGTTTTTGAATGTGTAGATTTGGATTTGGTCCTGTTTTTTTGAAGATTGACACTTGTTGGAGATTAAAGAGGGATTTTTAACTTTTGGGATTGGATTGGTTTGATAAAAACATGGCATCTAATGTGCCTCCAGGGGCACCTAGACAACCACCACCGCCTAGTTATAACCCAAATTATCAGCAGAACCCGAATACTTTATCCGATAATTTTCAGAATTTGAATCTCAATCGGCCCTCTTCCATTCCGAATTCAGGTCCTAGGCCTTCGCCATTTGGCCAACCACCGCCATTTCCCTCCTCAGCTCCTTCACCACAATTTTCCCGGCCTGGTGCACCACCTCCTGGTGTTGTCCCTAGACCTTCAGTGCCTCCCTCGGGATTACCTCCATCCACTTTCCCCCCAAATGTTACCCCTGGTAGACCTACTGGGCCGCCTTTCAGTCAGCCGCAGCCTTTCAGTCAGACGCAGCCTTTCAGTCAGACTCAGCCTTTTGGGTCCAGACCGCCTCCGGGGTCATTCCCATCTTCTGCAAGCAGTGGTCTGGCAACGGGTCCTGTCTCTGGTGCACCACCTCAAGGCTCACTTGTACCGCCATTGGGTTCTCGCCCTGGTCCTGCTGCACCATCTTCTTCACCTTTGAGTATGCCCCCTTCTAGTTCATTTGGTGGTTTAATGAGTAATGGGCCACCAGCACCAGCTTTCCAGAGTGCTCCACGTTTTCCTTCCCCTGTTAGTGGACCACAGCAACCGCCCATGGGTCCTCCACCAACAGTGGGGTTGGCTCGCCCACCGCCTCAAAGCATGCGCCAATTAATGGGTAGTTCGGGGATTAGTGGCCAGCCAGTTGCTTCCTTTTCAGCTCCACCTCAAGGGACACCGTTTTCAGCTCAGCATGGGATGGCACCACCACCAGTAGGTTCTCCTTTTGCACCACAGATGCAACCGCAGTCTGTAAGTTTGTTAAAATCTCACAACCTGCAGTCAGTGTTTGGAAAATTTCAATTGTTATGTAGTTTCCATTTGAATTTATTTTAACTCAAGCGTTTCACAATTGTTTGAAATTCAAGTTAACTAGCTCTTCTGGCGATGTTGGTAGCTTCAAAACTGCTATATTGAAGATAGTTTGTACTCTATTTGGGATTGCATTGGATGTAGAATCAGTCTTAAGGATTCATTTTGCTTTAGAAAAATGGCTGGAAAAAAATTATAAAAATCAATCAAGAACTTGAATAGTTTGGAGGAATAGTATGCTTTGTTATGTAATATAAGATGAAAGGAAACAAAAACATGCATTGAAATACTTATACTACTTTAGACTATATCATGAAATGTTTTGATTGTTTTCAAGTATGCTATACTGAGAGCCAAGGCTTACTCTGGCAGTATGCATTACTTCATCAAGTGATAAGAAACTGATATAGGAACTTATGAGGTTCTTAATTGGAAGTTTTGCAGGTTCCAATGTCTTCTTGTTAACTTTAAAACATTCTTGTAACAGTGTAGATTAAATGTGGTGAACGATTTTTTGATGTATTGAGGCGAGAAATTATATACCAGATAGT